TTTGATTTGATTCTTCGGCCAGATGGCTTTTTTGCCCTTTTTTTTTTTTTTTTTTTTGACATACAATTCTATTATATATATGCTGTGACTACGATGCTGTTATATACTTATGAGTTTCCAAGAGCGACATTGCTTGTATATCGAATCGAACCTTAATAGACATGACCGGATTTATTTGCTATATATATTCTTCATGTACTTTTGAATTATCATCAGATCCAATCTACATGCTACATCGCTTATAACGCACGAAAAGAAAAAGGAAACAAGGGCTTACAGCTTGGCGAAAACGGTAGGCACAGTGCCGCTCATGTCCACCAAAGTGCTCTTATTCTGCAACCAAGCCTCAATACCCTTGCGACCATTCTCGACACCGAGACCACTCTTCTTCCATCCACCCACAGCCATCTCGGCCGGACTCTCACCCCAGGTGTTGATCCAGGTGATACCAGCTTGCAGCTGGCCGGTGATACGGTGCGCCTGGTTGATGTCCCTGGTGAAGACACCCGCCGCGAGGCCGAGTTCCGTGTCATTGGCACGGCAGACAGCCTCTTCGACGGTGTCGTAGTAGAGAATCGACATGACAGGACCGAAGATCTCGTCCTTGACAATCTTCATGTTGTCTGTGCAGTCGGTGAAAACGGTCGGACGGACCCAGTAGCCATTCTCCAGGTCCTTGGGAAGCGAAGGCTTGCCAAGGCCACCGTAGAGGAGCTTAGCCTTGTCCGTCTCAATTCCGTGACGAATGTACTCGGTGACCTTCTCCTGATGGATCGCAGAGCTCAATGGGCCAAAGTTGGTGGCTTCATCAAACAAAGGTCCTGGACGAACATGCTCCACCTGCTCGAGGAGACGCTTCTCAAAGGCCTCCTTCCAGCGACGGGGCACAAACACACGAGTGCCGTTGGTGCACACCTGACCCGTACTGTAGAAGTTGGCCATCATGGCGCCGTTCACCGCATTGTCCAGTTCAGCGTCGGGGAGGATGATGAGCGGGCTCTTGCCTCCCAGTTCCATAGTCACATACTTCATTTTACCGGCAGCGGATCCGGCCACCTTCAGTCCGGTGCTCACCTGGCCGGTGAAGGAAACCTTGACGATAGTCGGGTGAGAGGTCAAATACCCACCAACATCACCCGCGCCGTAGACCACGTTGAACACACCAGCGGGAAGACCGGCTTCTCGGTAGATCTCTGCGAGCGTCTGGGCGTGAAGAGGGGTGTATTCACTGGGCTTGTAGATCATGGTGTTTCCTGCGGCCAAGCATGGTGCCGACTTCCAGAGGGCACTAAAAATTGGTTAGCACGAAGCAATTAGGCATAGCCTTCGAGAGCACCTACATTTGGATAGGGTAGTTCCATGCGCCAATTCCGGCGCAAACACCCAGAGGAGCCTTGTTGGAGTAGACCCACGCATCCTCTCTGAGCTGAGTAGTCTCGCCGTTTAGACCGCCGCCACCAATGAAATTAGCGTAATACTCCAACACATCAGCACCGCTCAGAACATCAACGGTGCTGGTTTCTGTGTAAGCCTTGCCTGAGTCCAGAGACTCAACGCGGGCAATCTCGTCGTTTCTCTCCCGAAGCAAAGCGACGGCCTTCTGGAGGATGCGCGCACGAGCAGCAGGAGGGGTTTGCGACCACGAGGGGAAAGCACGGTCCGCGGACGCAATGGCCGCGTCGACATCAGTGTTGGAAGCGATATGGATGTCGGCCAAAATGTTTGCGTTGGAAGGGTTCAAGGTCTGGAAGGACTTGCCCGAAGTGGCGGACTTGATTTCACCGTCGTAGAAGAGCTGACGGGGGGGTTGAACGTCGGAGGACATTATGGGTGGTATGGTAGCAGTTGTGATGTATAATAGACTTCAAATGAGGAGGGGGGAGGAGGAGGAGAAGGAAAAGAGGGGGTTGTATAGATTGAAGTACCTTTGAGAAGTAGTGAAGCTTTACAAATTTACCCTGGCAACTGCAGACTTGTGTGGGCAGAATCCCACACCGCCCACGAGCCATTACGCAAAAGAAAAAAAAAAGTGGATGACTCCACCGGAACGGAGCGTTGCCCGATGATAAGATAGGACCAGCTCCGAGGTTCCTGGATGCTTATTTTTTCCTGATTCTGCTAAGAAACGATATCTAGGTGTTGCATTAGTTCTTATCTATACATAATACTCCATGCTTAGTACTAGTGATAGAGAATGTCATCAAAATAAGGCAAATTAATCCCAGACCGGTCGGTGAGAATTTCCGATCCGAGACTAGCCGCATTGGGCCTAGTACATCGTACGATCTCTCGGCGGGACTAATCAGTACAGGACACTTTACCCAATCTGGATTAGTTCCCTTGAGCGGTGACGTCGCGAAATCCGCAAAAAGTGAGAAAAACAACCTTATTTGGTCTTTAATAGAGCCAAAAGAAACGTAGATTGATAGCAGGTCGACGGAGCAGAAGCCCTGGAACAACGTGATTCAATGCTCTCAACATGTTTTAGGTAATGCTGCAAGTGTGGAATGCTTGGAGTTCTTGTCTGTATAACCCCCAGGCTCAAATGATGCCGCTGGATGACGGTCCACTTGCCTGATTAGGAGCAGTCCAAGAAAAAAAAAAAAAGAGACAAAAAAAAAAAAGTATCACCGCATTTTGTCTTAAATTCAATTTGGTTCCAATCTTTTTTTCTTTTTCTCCGACTTCTTTTCTTTTTTTCCCTTCTCTACTGTCTACTTTCTCCTTCCTCCGTCCTCCTCCGCAGCTTCGTCTTTCCGGCTTCATTCAACATGGCTACCACTACCGTTACCACCAGTGAGTTCCCCGCCAGCGATGTCAACAACTACGACTACATCATCGTTGGTGGTGGCACTGCTGGCTGTGTTATTGCCAGTCGGTTGGCTGAGTACCTTCCCAACAAGCGCATTCTCGTCATTGAGGGTGGCCCCAGTGACTACATGGATGACCGCGTCCTGAAGCTTAGAGAGTGGCTCAACCTGCTGGGAGGCGAGCTCGACTATGACTATCCCACTGTCGAACAGCCCATGGGTAAGTGTCAATACAGATAGAGTCCAAAGAGGAGGTTAAAGGAACAAGATTAACATTCCTCTAGGCAACAGCCACATTCGTCACTCGCGCGCCAAGGTCTTGGGTGGTTGCTCCAGTCACAACACTCTCATCTCGTTCCGTCCCTTCGAGTATGACTGCCGGAGATGGGAGAAGATGGGCTGCAAGGGTTGGGGCTTTGAGACCTTTACCCGCTTGCTCGACGGTCTGCGCAACACTGTCCAGCCTGTCCACGAGAACCACCGTAACCAGCTCTGCAAGGACTGGGTTCAATCCTGTTCTACTGCCCTGAACATCCCCGTTCTTTCCGACTTCAACAAGGAGATCCGTTCCAAGGGTGAACTGAACGACGGTGTTGGTTTCCTCTCCGTTGCCTACAACCCCGACGATGGCCGCCGCAGCAGCGCTTCTGTCGCCTACATCCACCCTATCCTGCGCGGAGAAGAGAAGCGCCCCAACTTGACTGTTCTGACCAACGCGTGGGTGTCGCGCGTCAACGTTGAAGGGAACACCGTCACCGGTGTCGATATCACCCTCCAGTCCGGTGTTAAGCGCACTCTGCGCGCCAAGCGGGAGACCATCCTGTGTGCCGGTGCTATCGACACCCCCCGGCTGATGCTGCTCTCTGGACTGGGACCCCGCGAGCAGCTGTCGTCGCTGAACATTCCTGTGGTCAAGGATCTGCCTGGTGTTGGTGAGAACCTTCTCGACCACCCCGAGACTATCATCCTCTGGGAGCTGAACCAGCCTGTTCCTCCCAACCAGACCGTCATGGATTCGGACGCTGCCATCTTCCTGCGTCGCGAGGCTGCCAATGCTAATGGCGATGACGGCCGGGCTTCCGACATCATGATGCACTGCTACCAGATTCCCTTCTGTCTCAACACGGAGCGCCTTGGATATGACGTGCCCAAGGATGCATTCTGTATGACCCCTAACATCCCTCGTCCCCGTTCTCGCGGTCGTCTCTACTTGACTTCGGCCGACCCCTCCGTGAAGCCCGCCCTCGACTTCCGTTACTTCACCGACCCTGAGGGCTACGACGCTGCCACCATCGTTGCCGGATTCAAGGCCGCACGTGAGGTCGCCAAGCAGTCGCCCTTCAAGGATTGGATCAAGCGTGAGATTGCCCCTGGCCCTAAGATCCAGACCGACGAGGATCTCTCCGAATACGGCCGTCGCGCTGCCCACACCGTGTACCACCCGGCCGGCACCACCAAGATGGGTGACACTACCAGTGACCCGAAGGCCGTTGTCGACCCCAAATTGAAGGTCCGCGGTCTGAACGGTATTCGCATTGCTGATGCGGGTGTTTTTCCCGACATGCCCACGGTCAACCCCATGTTGACTGTGCTGTCCATTGGTGAGCGTTGTGCCGAACTGATTGCCGAAGAGGCCGGCTGGACCCGCAACCAGCCTAGACTGTAAAGGAATCGCCTGTAATGGCCATCGTTTTTCTTTCTTTCTTTCTTTCTTTTTTTTTTTTTTTTCATTCGAAAGAACGAATGCTGCCCGACGTCAACTTCCAGCGGCGTTGCATTGGAGTTGAACAGGATATACTAATTTTCTATTTTGCTTTGTATATCTGTTGCTATTTATGTATAAAGTTTTGGGGGATATTTGCTCTTTGATATGTTTGCATTTGAGCGCTTGAGATTCCCTTTTTAAAAGCAGGATATATATACATATAGATAGATGGAGATGTGACATGATACGCTACGAATGTACGTGTTGCTCCGAATTTGATACTTAAATTCAAAATTAGACAATCTATTGGTTATCTATCTGGGCATCTAGCTATATAATATGGTAGAGAGCCAAAAGAGATATTAGAATCCGTAGACCAAAACAGCAAAAGAGATCGGAAAATAAGAAAACTATACACTCTTCTCTTCATCGAAAGTCTTCACACCGAATTTCCACACCTGGTCAACAGTCAGAGTCGGACCAGCGTCAGAACCACAGTCACTTAGAACGACAAGATCGGCATCAGCGCCCGCATCCAAAGTACCCTTGACACCTTGCAGACCCAGCATCCGCGCGGGGGTGGCAGTGACAGCACGCAACGCATCAGCAACAGATGCGTTAGACCAGCGCCGGAAATTGTTCACGCACTCAATCAGCGTCGCCGAACTACCGGCGATCTTATTAGAGCCCTCGAGCGTCAGACGAGCACCGGATTTGATAATTCGGTCCCCGTTGGTCCAATCATAGATGCCATCGGGGAGCCCGCAGAGACGCATAGCGTCGGTGACGAGAACGAGACCCTCAGGATGGGCATGGTACGCGATCTTGATGGAAGTGGGATGCAGATGGATCCCATCTGCAATCACACCGTAATACGGCCGATGATGCCGCTCGCTTTGGCCCAGGAGGCCGAAGATGCCCGGATCGCGGTGCTCGAAGGGCCGCATTGCGTTGAAGAGATGGGTGACCATTGAGGCACCGTTCTGCGTCGCTACTAGCCCTTGCTCGTAGGTGGCGTCTGAGTGGCCGATGGAGTAGATGATGTCTCGTTCTACGAAGCGTGGGATGTGGGTGGTCATGTTGCCCACTTCCGGTGCGGCGGTGATCATCTTGATGGATGAATTGAGGTTCTCCTGGCCGTAGCAGTGGACCAGGTCCTTCCAATCTTGAGAAGCTTGGAGGACCTCGGGTTTGTGGATGCCGTTACGGCCCGGATTGATGAATGGGCCCTCAACATGAGCTCCCAATGATTCTGCGCCATCTTCCCCGCGATGATAGCTGTTTGACGGTGCCAAAGAGGGGAGGACCTATTTCATTCTTTTAGAAACTGAGGGCACATGTGAAAATGCTAGACGTGATACGCACCTGCCAATATACTTCCGGTGTGGAACTAACAACCGTTGGCAAATATGAAGTCACGCCAGTCCGCACCAGACCCTTGTTAACAATGCGCAACCCATCATCATATGCTTTTCGGGAAGCCTGTGGTACCGAGAAATCAAACCCCTGGGCGCCGTTTAACTGGACATCAATAAGACCGGGAGCCAGGATACGGCCACTCAGATCGATGACTTCATCGGGCAAGAGATGCAGTTCGTAGAAGGCGACTTGGTCCCGGAGAATTTTGCCGGAACGTGAATCAATCCAGAGATCCTGTTCGACCAATTTCTTGTCTTTAAGGATGCGGCAGTTGGTGAATTTGGTGATACGGGGGGTGGTTTTGGTTTTGCCGGGCATCATGTATGCTTGCTTGTGCTATGATGATCTATATAGATGATGGCATAAACAACGGGAAATGTATCCGAGGTTGTGTGTCAATGTGCAACATGTCAAACCATGAGAAAGAGGATATAGGATGAAGATATAACAGAGAAACACATAGTTTTCTTCCCCAGGCAAATGCACGTTTTGCCTTAACCAAAAGGACTGGATGATGCTTATCGATGATGCGGATACGACATTGATGGTACTGTATGATACCGTATGGTACACGAGGAGATTACTTACCGTACGACATAATACAGAGCACATACAGGACACATGCATACAGATCACCTGATCCCTGTCATTTGGACCTGATCCTAGTCTGCATCCAACCTCATATCTTCTTTTTGTATGTAGTCCCTTCATCTGTCTTCAATTGTATTCAATTTCATAGGATTCCACAACTCAATTGCATCGTTTTCAATCGTTTTCACCGATATCACTTATCAGCTAGTTATCCCCAGATTCCTGACTCAGCCAATTTTCTCCCGAATTTCCCGCATCCAGACATCGACCCAGTCCGTCGCACAATTCTCAATGCAACCGTCACTTCGTTTTCGTGCAACAGTATTTTGCCCAGCCTCGCCATGAAATTGACGTTTCTGTGTTATTCGATGGCCGGCTATCATAATGATGCCAGTGATGATGATGATGATGATGATGCTGCTGCTGTTGCTGCTGGAAAACCCGCAACGGAACAGGCCGTATCCTGCTATCTGTCCCCGATAAACACCGCCAGTTTCAAGCCCAATAGAATCAATAGAACATTAGCTCGTGTTCGGCACTAAACCCCGCGAAACAAGCCGCTAAGTTAAATGGTTAATATTATTATTTAGGTTTCGTGTTCAATTTCCTCGTGCATCACACATCCGTATTCTCTTTCTCCATTCAATTTCAATGCTGCAGCTTTTGCGCTTTCTCTCACCTCTCTTTTCTTACCGAATTCGCACATACTTGCTCGTGGTGCAGTTATAACTAGAGAGTCCCTCTTGCCTTTCTGTCTCAGCATTGCCCCCCCAACCGGTCACTGCGTATCCCTTCATTCTTGCTCTTTCCTTCAACCGGTGTGGATTGTTCATTTCTATTTTTTTGGAGATCGACTTTCCTCTTTCTACTATATCAGCTGTGTACATACAGCAAACATATATATACTCTCGTCTTTGTATATTTTGCTTCCCTTCATCGGGTCACACAACAGATTTTCATTGTTCATATGTTTGCTTGATTCCATATACTTGACCGCTGTGGTGTATATATTCTTCTTTGTCCTTCCATTTCTTCCTCTACATTCTTCCTATTCGCACTTCTTCACATAGGATTATGTCGACCCCCTCAAGCAACGTCGAAATGCAACACGACACCAAGCACAGCGAAAAGAAGGACCTGGACTGGGCATCCAGTGTCGATCCTGAGTCCATGGACCAGTCAGAGCCCTTGGGAAAGCCCTGGATGTACAAGCCCAGGAAAATCGGCACGTGGACATTCCCGTGGTTTGCTTCCCCGGAGGTGCAGCTGGTGTTGGTATCTTTTGTCTGCTTCCTCTGCCCTGGTATGTTCAATGCCGTCAGTGGCTTGGGCGGCGGTGGTCAAGTGGATGCCAAAGACGTTAGTGACGCCAACACCGCTTTGTACAGTACTTTCGCTGTCGTCGGTTTCTTCGCTGGTTCTATCGCCAACTGGATCGGATTGCGCTTGACTTTGTCCATTGGTGGCTTCGGTTACTTCCTCTACGTCGCTTCCCTGTTGTCCTACAACCACAACCAGAATGTCGGTTTCCTCGTCTTCGCTGGTGCATTGCTGGGTGTATGCGGAGGTCTTCTGTGGTGCGCTCAAGGCGCTGTCATGATGAGTTATCCGAATGAGAAGGAAAAGGGCAAGTTCATTGCTATTTTCTGGGTTATCTTCAACTTGGGTGGTGTCATTGGAGGTTTGGTAGGTAGATCCATCCCCGGTGACTTGATTTATCAAACTGACGCCCTATCAGATCCCTCTGGGCCAGAACCTGCACTCGAATTCCGGGCAGGTCAATGATGGCACATACATCGCTTTCATGGTCCTGATGGCTATCGGCTTCATGCTCGCCTGGATTCTCGTGGATTCGAAATACGTCATGCGCAAGGATCATTCTCGTGTTATCGTTATGAAGAACCCCACCTGGAAATCAGAGCTTGTGGGTCTCTTGCAGACACTTCGCACCGACTGGTACATTATCTTCTTCTTTCCCATGTTCTTGGCAAGCAACTGGTTCTACGGATACCACTTCAACAGCGTCAACGGCGCCTATTTCAACATCCGTACCCGCTCACTCAACAGTTTGCTGTACTGGCTCAGCCAGATGGTTGGAGCTTTCGTGTTCGGCATGACATTGGATCTGAAATGGTTCTCTCGTCCTACCCGTGCCAAAATCAACTTTGGATTTCTTCTCGCCATCACCATGGGCGTCTGGGGTGGTGGATATGCCTTCCAGAAACAATACACCCGCGACACCGTGACAGCAAACAAAGATTGGACTGGCAGTGGTTACATCGGACCCATGTTCCTCTACATCTTTTACGGATTCTATGACGCTGCTTTCCAAACCTGCGCGTATTGGTTCATGGGATCGCTCACGAACAACAGCCGGAAACTCGCCAACTTTGCTGGATTTTACAAGGGTCTTCAGTCTGCTGGTGCAGCGGGCATGTGGCGGTAAGTTTACTCCAAGGCGCATAGACGTGCGGATTGCTAATTGTCTTGTACAGCATGGATGCACAAGGTACAGCTTTCATGACGGAATTTGCCTCTTGCTGGGGTCTCCTCGTTGGTAGTCTCCTGATTGCCTCGCCAATCATCTTCTTCAAGATCAAAGAACACTCCGATGTTGAGGAAGACCTCAAGTTCTCCGATGAGACTCACAAGGATGTTGGTATTCCCATGGAGGATTCTCCAATGCCTTCCTCTCCCTCTCAGAAAGAACACGGGGAGGAGAAGACCGTTTGCCATGAGTGATCATTTTCTTCCTTTTGGTTTATCCATAGTTTGGGCGGGATTCTCTTTATTTTTGGGTTTCGGCTTTGTTGGTCATTTGGTTATTACCCTTTGTACCTTTGATGTGAACATAATAGTGTCTACTTGATTAGTCAGGCACATGGTGCCCCTGTGTTTGGGGGTTGAATATAACTGTTCTACATGATTTCTGTCTCACTGGACCTTACATCGGGCAGTTGCGGATGCATGCAAGAGATGCATTAAGCCGCATTGTCATTGTATTATATGCACGTGGCCATTAGTGTACCTATTAAGGGACATGTACTTCGTATGTATAACGGTGTTAAACCAGTCATACGACAAGTCATCAGTCGTAGCAGTAATATCATCAGTGACTACCGCTAACACTAGCACTAGCACTAGCCGTAGCTGAAGGCAAGGGAACCGAAGACTGCGTATGCGTAGCCTTGGTAGTACCATTGGTGACATAAGGCGCATCAAGGTCGTTAATCTTCACCTTACCCTGCGCAATATCCCACCCGTTCAGCGTGCGGTTAAACAACTGCAACGCAGCAATGGGCTGATAATACGGCACCTCGTGACCGGCCTCATAAACCCGCGTAAACGAGAAGTTCCCATACTCCCTCGTCTCACCATACTCGACCCCATCAACGACCAACGGCGCATAACCCGCAGCGCGGAACTGCTTCGCATGCGTGTAGTTCGCAGCAAGCGAGATGGCCTCACCACCGAACCAGTTACAGATGTAATCCGCATCACCGTAGATCAGCGAAACACGAACAGGAAGCTTAAGAATCTCCTCAAGATCATCGATGAAGTTCGGCCAGACGAAGTCGCCCGTTTGCTGGAAGGCGTAGTACACCTCTGTGCTGGAGGCGGTGTAGTTGAGGTTGACGCCGAGGGCGTTTTTGACGGAAGGTTTTTGCAGGTATTTGCTGTAGCGGGCTGGTGGGGTGGGGTCGTTGCTTGGGTGGCGGATGTCGTAGACGCCGCGGCCGGAGTACTGATAGTAGGGGCTTTCGACGTTGTCGCGACACATGTTGGCGGCTTCGGTGCAGATGCCGTAGTCTACGAGGGAGGTGCGGTTTGTTTGCTTGCAGGAGGCGATTTGGTCCTGGCAGCCGTTGCTCATGCTGTTGGCGAATTTCATGTAGTTGTAGACGGTGTCGTTGATCTGTTTTTGTCAGTACGTAGCTTACTTTGCAGGGATGGGAACTTACGCTCTTGATTCCATAGGTGTTCTTGACGGCGAATTCAGGGTAGTGAGGGGCCTGGATTGCTTCGTCGATGATACCGTTGATGATACCCAGAGACTCAAAGTCAAGAGCGATACCCTCCTTCTCACCAGATTCGATCTTTTGGTTCTGCTCGTGGAAATGGTTGAAGAACTGTCAAGTTAGTACAATGTTACCACATCCTGTATTCAGGAAGAACTCACAGCAGGTCCGTAGTGTCTGAAACTGTTAGCATATACTTGTCCAATCAACAATGGGAAATGAACTCACCCTCCATAACTCTCTGTCCACAGGTTGAACTTCTTGGACTTGATCTTAGAGTCCAATTTCGGCAAACCACCAAGGAATCCCTGCAGGACTTCCCAAGCGGCCTTAGCAGCAAGGTTTGTGGTGTCTAATTTCCGGTCAACAAATGCACATCAAGACAAGAAGGCAGGACGTACCAGTCAAAGTAGCATTGATCTTGGGGTATCTACCCTGCATGCCATCGAAAGCCTCATCTTCGACAGCACCAGTGAGCGGATTGAGCGAACCAAGCTCAGTGTCGCTGTACGAGAAACCAGTGCCCAACGGCTGGGAAATGAAGAGCATGTTGGAGACCTCATTGAAAGAGTGCGGGTTGATATAGGTCTCGTAGCTAGAGTTGATATGGCACGGACCCAATTCTGCGATCATTAGCATTCGTTTATAAGCAATTGAAATGGACAAACTTACCCTCCAACAATCCAATCAAAGAGTCACTTCCCGGACCACCGTTCAACCACAAAGTAATGGGCGCATTCTGCGGGTCATGTCTAGCCTCGAAGAACCAGAAGAATGTGTGAGAAGTTGGAGACAGATCAACATAGCCGGAGTACGACTTGACTCCCGGAGTCGTCTCACAGACCCCCTCTTTGCCTGGCTCCTTGTAGCGGATGGTGATGTTGTTGGCTGTCGTGAGGGTATGGACGCCGGTAGGCTCCTTGGGGACCTGGCGTCTACCAACGTGGAATTCGTCTGTTGGATGGGCCAAGCTGGTCGCAGCCAGCGATAGGAGGGATAACAGCTGGAAGCGCATGGCTACAGCCTTGGTGACTTGGGAAGAGGGGGCTGTTTAAGAAATTTAAGGAAAAAGAAAAGACAAGAAACACCTCCGGCACTACGCAACGCAACTACAAAAACCATCATGAAAAAGACGCGACAGCTTCCCTTTTATATGTAGTAGACGATCAGGAGACCCCGACCACCCGTGATGTACATAGTACTAACCCAACGAACGGAGCACAGAACATCCCCCGACATCGATACCCCGTCCGGAGTCAGGGTACAAGTAAGCAAGACAAACACAGAAAGCGCGATGGTCATGCCCGGGCCCACATGGCGCGAGTGAGGTGATAAGCAAGAGTAACTCCGTAACTGTAGCTGCACCTATCCTAGAGACCGAGACTGAGACACAGACATGGACAGGGTAGTATCTGGCGGATATCTGGCGGCATACTCCGTTCAGAGTATTCCGTAGAGCACAGAATCATCGCCAATTGGGCCGGTTTGTACGGGAGCAGGAGTCTTGGACCTGAACTGACTCCGGAGTCCGTGCAAACACGCAGCAAAAGCAAAAGCAAAAGCACGATGACAAGGTTTCGGAAGAGGCAAACTGATATGCCTTAGACATCCTTATTTCTGTCTGCCTATCGTTCCGGTTGCCGATCGGTTCAATGCGGGATTATTGGAGAATACGGAGACATGCTGACCGAGGTCTCGTGGGACCGTCGTTTGTTGCGTTTGTTGCGTTTGTCGCTTGATTATGTTGGTTGTTTGACATTCTGGAATCGACAGCAGTATTCAAGCATTCTCCTGTTGTAGTAGAGACAGAAAACAAAGCACTCTGTAATTCTATCCATAGACAACAACGTTTGAGAGAGTCGAGAGAACGCGTTGACAACCACCTTCCAAATCGGGAATGGCGCATCACGGGATATTCAGGCCCCCCTCCCAGACAGATACCACCTCATACTCAATGCAAAGTACTCTACATACAGAGTATTAAAAAATATTACTCTGTACGGAGTACTCCGATCTCTGTAGTGTGTCTATAAAATGGTAGTAGAATGCTCAATGCTTAAAACCGATTCAATTGCACCAGCAATGCTCGGTATTCCGCAGTAAGTGCCGACGAGGGATCATCAAAGCTTGACCAATATTGGTCCAGCCGATCAAAAGGTCCGTTGGGGCTGTAAATTACGGCATTACGGTAATCTCATGTGACTCCGAATAATAGAGAAATCGTTCATTATTCTCGTCTCATACTCTCTAGAGTAAAGAAAAATTGACAATAAACAAACATATCGCACCCAATGCATAGCTAAACGCCGCCTTCCCGTGTCATATCTTTTCCAAACCAAAGTAATCAAGGTCATAACGTCCCGTAAATACAAGTGTTAAAACATATATGCAGAAATGCGGAAGTAGAATGGCAAAGCTTGAAAGAAAATCGTCATGTTTTTAAAACAATCCCAAGTCTGCATCCAGATCCGCCGTGATACCTTGAGCCTCCGAGCGTGGTGCTTCGACGGCGTCAGCAAGTCCAGGGAAATTAACGCCCTTGTCGCCGGCATCCAGATTCATCACGTCGGGAATGTGATCCACAAAATCGTTGCCGTCATGGCTCTCATGATCGTTGGTGTTATTATTTGTAGTGGTATTGATGGCAGTGGTGTTGTTGCTGTTGTTTTCGGCCGCAAAGAAATCGGCCCCGGCATCGTCAAAGTTGATCAAGGCATCAAAATCATTCTGTGTCACTTCGGCATCGTTGGCCAAATCCATCAACTGGCTCAGACTCAGTTCTGACTCCATGTTGGGAATTTGGAAAGCACCCGATGGCGGGAATTTCGGATTGAGGTTGTTTGTACTGCCGTTCTCGCTGCCATCCGATGGAGGAGGCGTCGACACAAACAGCGGACCGCCTTCCTCAGCTGCTCCAAGCGCTCCGGTGTCATTCGATTTCGGATAGGTAAGATCGGGTATTTTCTGGGCGAGAGAGTCCGGGGGAGGAGTCAAGGTGTTGAGACGCGTGGGGTCGGGCATGGTGGAGGAGGCAGTGTCGGCGTTCACGGGAGGTGGCTGTTGCACATCCTGAGGTGCAACGGTGAGCTGGATACCGGCCTTGCGGATGGCGGCTTCCAAGAATGACGTCGCAAAGTCAGCAGAGGCATAGATCTCACGTAAACGCTGGAGAATCCGCATGCACTGGTAGAAGCGCTGGAGGCTGGTCATCCGGACATTGGGGTCGCTGGACTTGATATCAAGCAGATGAATGATGACCGCAGGCAGGAGCACTGTCACACCCGTGGTTGGGAAATAACGGGTCAGGTCCAAACTATGCAGGTCCTGGGCGATGTTGGTGATTTCCACCGCCGCGTACCGCACCTTATTCCGCGAGATATCCTGCAGCTCCGCGTCCATCGACGGGAACGGGATGGAAGGAAGAACTTGCGGACGGTGCAAAGCACTGGACGTGGTCAGGTACACCATCTTAAGCAGTGCCCGATGCGAATGCAGAACCTCCTGGGCCTCTGTGAGTTTCAAAGACGCGGCCGGAGAATACTGGATCTCCGGAGGAAGGTTAGCCAGCCAGTCTTCCAGCTCCTGATCGCAGCGGCGAACTTCGAATGTCTCAGCGGCAGATTTCTTAGGGACCAGCATCATAGTAGTCTCCATCGTGCCGCCAAACTTGTGGCTGAGAACCGAGTATTGTGCTGACAGCACGTGGCTAACGCAGAGACACAGCTTGGCCTTTTCGATGAACATGAGGGCCAGTTCACGCTGGTGCTCAATATTGTGCAGCACCTCCGAATTTCCGACCATCGCCACGATCTCGGGAGAGAACGGATGGAAGTCAAAATCGTCGAGAGTCAACATAGGCACGTCGCAGTCATCATCCTTGACGCGCATGGGACGTCTCATTCCCAAGGCAATCAAGCGATCGCGAGTATATGTGCTCCACCAGATGCGTTTCCACATCCGTTGACGACGAAGATCCATGCGCGAGTTTCCGGGGTCCCGGTGTAGACCAATGGTGTGGGCCAAAGACAGACTGACGCCCATCCAATGCCAGGTGTCCTTTTGGTCATCTGGGGTTTCGTACCAATAGGTCATCAGCAACAGAGACTGGACGAGCGAGATCCGGTCCACCTCGTAGTCAAAGTCGTAGAGAAGTCGGGCTCGTTGGAAGAAGGCTTTCCGTGCGGCCTTTCGTGACGTGTAGCCGGCGCCGTGGAGGTGCTTGAGATCGATGAAGGCAGTACCGGCAAACATGACAGCCTGGAAAAGCAGCAAACTCATCCGATTGATTCCATCGTTCTGGATAATCGTCTGCAAAAAGTCTTCAATGTCTAAGAGCGGCATGTAGGTGTGGACGTAGTGAATATAGCTCTTGATCAATTCATTACGCAGATTGACATCCGGAATGGTCAAGGCACCTTTCATGGCCAAATAGTCGATATCCTCCTTCTGCAACCGAGCAGGCAAGCCTCGAATGTAGTCTGGTAGAACGACGCCTCCCGAACGGGGGCTAGCAAAGGACGGATCCAACAATTGCTGGATTTGCGAGGTGACATGGTGCAATGGCAAAGTGGCTGGAACGGCCGGGTTCGGGGCCATTCCACGACCAAATCGGGACTCTGCTCCAATCCGTTCGGCCTGGTTTTGATCTAATGTGAATTATTAGTCACGGCCCTCTAGAGACGAGGGAACAGAGAGCACGAACATAAAAGATGAGGCATATGTGAGCCTTGATCCAGATCGAGCGAATGTTGCGATGGCGAAGCCGGTGCCACATCTGACAGACGACGGCTCTCACTGAATCTCCGGAAGAAATTCCCACTGTCTTCTGAAGCGTCCGGAGGCGAGTCGGAGACGTTGTTGGCATTTTCAGCCTCAACACGAGATTTCCTGTGTTCGTTAGCTTTCATATAAGCATTGACGTTGATAGATGAATTCAACGCACTTTCTCCGCTTGCTTTCCGTAACAACACATTCGACCTGATCTAATCGGCAATTCGTGCAGGGAGAACCATTTTCGACAACATCACAGCGGACCTTGCGAGCTCGACAACAACAGCACGCTTTCGAGGCACGTCTCTTGACAGGACGAGTGTTGACAGACATGCCAGCCGTGGAGGCCTTGCGTTTTGCTTGGGAATCGGTAGAGGACATTGTGTTCTTTGGATGTGACGGTGTGGTCGTGGCGGTCGTGGCGTTGGTCATAATGGGTGAAGGCGAGTGTTATGCGTGATCCATGTATTCGTTGAATAACACGTGATACTAGAATATGGAGAGGGAAGGGAAGATATATAGAGAATATGGTGTAGAATCGTGGCAGAGGGAAATAAGGAATGAAGGAAGAGAAGTGAAGAGTGGAGAGTTTCTTTTCTTGTTCTAGTATCTTTCTTTTTTCTTTTCTTTTTCCTAACGTGTTATCATACACTCATCTCCCAACTGGACCCAAATGAGAAAAAGAAAAAGAAAAAGAAAAGCCAACGTTGCGGGCGTTGGGGAAGCAGTCCTTCTTAAGTACAATCCCCCAAAAAAAAGCTCCTGTAATTGCGTATGGGGATTCCCGTGAAATTACTCCCCCAGACCGGAACCAGAATTCTTCAGTGGCCCCCGTACGGTATTGGTAACGGAAAGAAACGGCCTGTAATTGGACGGCATAAGCTCGGAGTGGAGTGTATTCTCCATTACCCAAAGTTGTCTAGTCGCAACACTAGTCCAGATACAGTAGCAAAGTTGGCTGGATTTACTTACGTACGCTGGCAAATGGGCGGGTCTAGTGCCTCCACTATCTCCACTCGTCTCCATCGAGCAGCATACCCACCGGTAGTCACCGCCCGCCACTACAGCCCGAAAAGGGATAGTGCACTACATTCGCTTAGGAAAAACTCCACCTGAACTAAAAATCCCAACCGAGACTCGGCCCGGTCACGTGTGTGTGGCTCAGCCGGAGGGACCGGAGTGAATCATCGCGGGTTTGATTGGTTGAGGGCAGCCTTCATATATTGGGGGACAGACGTTGGTGTGGCCGTTTTGTGGGGAAGCAGGGGCTGCGTCATTTACTTCTGACTCGGAAAAAATTCCGTGCTAGTGCGTACTTTGAGTGTGCACGAGCATCTGAAAATGAGTATCTACAAGTAGATAACACACTGTACAGAATAGGAGTACACAGTATTGCTGGGAGGAGGCCATGTTGATCAAACCTTCTGCGCACACGATATCATGTTGCATAAGCGCAGGACTACAGGGTGTTTTGTACAAGTCTGGAACGAGAACCTTGGGATTTCTGTGATTATGGAAATACCCCAAGTGGATTCAACTAGCTTGAAGATCAACCAAAATCGCCGGAGGATGCGGTTTCCATACTCCAGAGTACAAGACATGAGTAAACCCTTAACGTACCTGAATTACATGAGAGCACAAGAACATCTATTCTACACGCTCTGACTGGTCCCCAGTCCAACCAAACTCCCGCCAAACCCCCCGCCAATCAAACTCTCTTTGGCTTCTGGCCTCCCACAGACCAATAATTGCCATCGTAGCCGATCCGAATATACCAAAAGTCTGGGGATGATCCAGTAATGGTCACGCGTACCGTACTCCGTAGCAATGCCTACTTTGCTATGATATCACTCAACACGTGCAGGGATGGCAGTTGAAGCGGTATGTGGCCGCTGACATCGGCAGGATCCCGACCGACTCTCTCCCATGGTCCAGGCTGACCTTCTGCTGTCATATTGATAATGAGAGATACAATCCTTGTACAGGGCATTAATCCCTCATTTCCTGCACTTTCCTTTGACATACAAGTACACAGCAGTAGTCATCTACTTACTTAACCAGATTACTACTATGTACGTTCATATGAAATGTAACTTCCGTCGATCCCTGGTACCGGAAATCCCTACAAACCAATCGCCAAGTATCAACTGGACCTCATACTTTCCATTCTACCAATAAAACCGCCCATAAAATACACAGGACCCCCGGTCCCTGTCCTTCCCCAACTTTTCCCACGTTTGTTTCATAATAAAATCATACTTCAACTGCCGAAGTCGGTGGCTGTGGTTGCGGTCTCGCCGGTTCTTGGTTCTTTACACAGTATATTACCGTACTGTATGGAAGGAAGGGGAGATGATACACGGAGATGAGTCGCCTTTCCCCAGACACGTGATGATGACCTGGGGTATGTATTATTCATACTTGTATGAACCGGGTTCGTCGGCTTTCTCGCCGGACAGTCCGGTCATGTGTGATTTTCCCTGTTCCAGTGCATATGCACATGTCTGACCCTTGTAAACACGCTACATTGTACATAGCACATATGTATGTCTTACAAGAGAATGATCGGGAGACCCCAGATTGTTCGACATTAATACACTGCGGACTGGTACGGACGAATGGAGTCGCACTCAATATACACTAAAGAAACAAGCCGGGGCAGCGGAGTCGATGCTGGGCAGATACTAATAGAAGATCGTTTCGTGTCAAGTACGAGAAGATTGTCATGTCAATCAGTCATGTTGCTCAGTGCACTGTCATGGTACACGTTGATCGATCCAGTAAATTGTATCATCATAAAACTATCCAGGATATCTGTACTTAAAACAAGAATAACAAAATAACAGGTCGTACTCATCATCATAATAGAGGCAAATAACAGAAAACTAAACACCCCGTCCCATCCGCTCAATCGATCCCATGATCCCACTCCGTCCCGGCGTGAACATTGCTATCCCAGACTTCCCCCCACTATTTCCCCGTGGCGTCTTTGCTCCAATCCTAGGGATTGCCCTTTTCCTCTCCTTTTCGACCCCCCCATTTGACCCCGTGGCGCTGGGTGGGCGTAATCCACTGGTACTGCTGCTGGCGCTGGTACTGTGACTGTGGCTCACACTCCGCCGGAAATCCTCCATCACTGGTTCCGGCGATGGCCTCCGCGTGGGTTCTGGCGATGCCGCTTCGTACGGACTAGGGGTACGTTCAGTGCGTTCGGCAGGTTCAGCATGTTCAGAAGGCTGCTGACCGGGTTGTTGTATGGCCAACCATTCGTCAACCGCAGCCACCAATTCTCCCTTTTCCGCCCGTTCCATCTCCAAGTCGCCCTGGAGCCGTTCCCGATCCTCCCGTAGCGCCGCCATCTCCTGCTGCAGTCCCTTGATCTGGGCCTCCAGCACCCGCTTCTCGGCTTCGTGCTCATCATTGGCACGGGCCACCAGGTTGGTGATCTCATCGTGGTTGGCGGCTGTCTCGGTAGCTGCCGTCTTCTCACGTTCCTCTCTCATCCGCTGGTTCTCCTCCTGCACGCCCTTCAGCTTGTTCTCGGATTCCCGAACGCGCTTCTCCCACCGCGACTCGTAACTCTTCTTCAATGCGGCAACCTTGGTCTCGTGCTTGCCCTTGTACAGCGTGTGGAGCTCCCGGGCCACCTTCTCGACGGCTTCCTGGACTTCACGGGCAGTCTCCTCCGCTGTCTTAGTATTGCCACTAGCCGTAGATGTTTCCGTAGAAGCACCAGGGGAGGAAGGGGGTTTAGTTTCAGCTGCCTTCCGAGCAGCATCCAGTTGGCTTTCCAATTCCACCATCCGGCCTTCCAGCTGTTCCTTGCTCTTCTCGACTTCCTCCACTTTCTTCACCAGTCGTGCCTTTTCATGCTCCCCTTCCACAATGTCTGCCTTCACTTCGCGCAGCACAGTCTCCATCTCCTCTCCCCGTCGCTGCCATTCGGCCTGTTCAATCTCCAATTCATCTTTCCGTGCCGCTTCGTTGCGGACTTGCTCCATGGCTTCTCCAACGCGCCGCTCAGCGTCCGCCACTGCCTGCTTTAGACTAGACACTTCGGCTTCTCTCCCACTCAGGGTCGCCTTGAGCGAAGAGATCTCCGACATGAAATTGGATTTCAAAGACTCAAGTTCACGAGGGGTCACCGTAGGAATGGATCGGGGGGTCGGGGGCGGGAGAAGGTCAAAGTCCAGCAACGACGCCTTGCCGGGGGAGCGCATGGACTCACGCGCCATCCTCAAAGGTGACCGCCGCGTGGGGGAGTAACGCTCATTCTGCATGCTATACCGTGGACGTGGCGAGAGACCGGGCTGATTCATAAGGCCCAGAACTTTGGGTGTGCCGCTGGGGTTTCCGTAGTCTCTATATTCCCTCTGCCTGGGCGATGGCGAACCGGCCGGCGTATCCAGGTCGATCAAAGTACTCCTTCGGTTCGACATTCGGGCCTGACTGGGTGTCCCCGGCCCTGGTGCCGGGTTATTCGAAGTATAATCTCGCATGGCCTTGGTGGGCGACTCCCTGCGCAGGTTCGCAAACGATGTCATATCCGCATTGGGAACAGCAGAGAAAGTACTCAGGTGAGTATCATCAATCGAGTCGTGAAATTCGTCATCAGTCATAGCGTCGTCTTCAGCGTCGTCGTTGTCTTCCTTCTCGTCAGAAGCGCCGTCGCCTTGGAGCACGGTGCTCATGCCTTCATTATGCTTCTCTTCCATCATGCTATTACTGCCTGCCTCCTGCTGCCCAGCATAATCTGTTGCTTTCTGCTCGTTCAAGAAACTCGCATCCTCATCGGCGTGGATATCGATATCTGATTCATCCCTCCGGTTCGCCCCCTTCTTATACCGTCCGTCAAAATCCGTATCGTCGCGGCCATCTTCATCCGGCGCATATTCATAGGATCGTTTCCGAGGCGTCGCGGAATGCTCACTGGGTGCTAGCGACGTTTGTCTCTGTTGCCGCAGCATCCGAAAGTCGACGGTATCGTCTCTGCCATCGTACTGGAACGGCGAACTCGGTGCTTCGGCCATGGATTGGCCATCGTCATCGTCTGTCTGGGGCTCGTGCGCGTGAGGGTCCACCTTGAAAGGACTCGAGAAGGTGTTTTCGGGGTATTCCTCTGTGTCCAACATGTCGTCAATACTCCCCTGCCCTTTCGCAGATTTGGGCGATTTAGGCGATTTAGGCGAGTGGAACCGCGAATTCTGACGCGACGGTGTCAAAGGAGAAAGAGGCGTAGACATGGTGTGGGTGGGGAAGCAAAAGGGTAGCCACTTGCGATACCAGCAGTATCCAAGGGTAGGCCAGGTAGAGAGTCGAGTACAGAGTAGAGATGTGATCCTAGAACTGTATTCTAGCAGAGAAAAGGGTCTTCAAGAGTGATAGATCATAAGAGCAATCGGTGGTGGTGGGAAAGATTATTATGTTTTGCCGTTGCCGGGATGGGCAGTAAACAAAGCTAAACTGTTTTGGGAGAATAAGGCGGTACATAGTGGCAGAATCGATCTGCCTTCTACAGGATATCATGGAAGAAGAATCAATCAAGCATTGTATTATCAAAGAGAGAAGATGGCATGTTATTCTAGACTACCCCCTTTGGATCGTTCAATTCCCCATTCACAATCTTATCACAAGTTTCCGCATCAACAACCCCATCAGAACCCAAGTATTCCGGTCGCGAGTACAACTCCAAGACCTCAAAATCACAACTAGAAATCGAATTCCAAATTGCCCAGGCGTATCTGAATGGCACTCTCCACTTCCACCAAATATTGCCATCGTCACAGATTTCATGTTGTCCGGGGATGGGGGTTTCCGGGACTTCCGCATAGATCTCGTCCCAGAGCGACTTCTTCATGCTGTGATACAAAACAATCGTAGACTGGGCGACTGACTGGTCGTCGAGCACGGCGAACCAGATCCTTGTAATCTTGCCCATTGTGCCCTTTTCTGCAAGGAATTGGTGGAAATATTGGCGGATCTCTGCATCACTCTGGCTTTGGAATCCGGTCACGATGTCTTCGGCAGGGGGTATCCCCTTTACTTGCACCTCTTCTTGATCGGGGGTGTGTATGAAAGTGAAGAGATTGAATGCATATTCCGGCATGATGCTCTCTTCTTGGAGAGCTTTAACTGTCTGTATAGTGTCAGTAGGTGTCAATATATATTCACAATTGGGACCGGGGTCGGCCATACGCTCACGGGAATATATGTTGTTGCAAATGTTAGGATACGCGACATGGTGAGAGTAGTGTGGTTATCCAGCAAGCAGTACTCCAAGTCACGGTATACACCCTCCTAAGGTTCCTGCAGAAGTCAACCACAGTAGCAGAAATTCCAAATGGAAGGCACAATGAAACCAAATCCTACGGTTAGCAGCTCCTTTTCAACCTGGCGGCTTTCAGTGAAGGAGGGTAGTAATTCGGCATGCTCCGGTCGGAGCTTTTTCATTCTGCCTATTTCCATTCCTACACACGTTCTATGCTATCCAGCCCTAATATCCCACAATCCGAGCATTCAGGCACAGTTGCTCTAGTTAGTCTGATAATGTTTGCCAAGAGAGATTGCATTGCTTTTGGTCCGATGACCAATTTACGCCTTAAGTATGGATCCCAAGGACAAAATCGACTATAGCGAACGACTAGACCATCTATTCATCACCAGTGTTCTTTATAACAGTTACACTCATGGCCAAACAAAGCCTTGGTTGATAACTGCTTCCCTTCAGACCTCTGGCCGTTTATTCCTGCCTTTCCCTCTCCCTGCTGTCTCGCAATGTGGAGCTGGAAGGACTTTGGCTTGATACTTGATACCTTTTCCGTGCATGCAGAGTAATGTCCTTTAGGGTCTATGCGGGAAACTAATAACCATGTACTGCTGTCGAAACGTGGACATTCTCTTATCTACCTGTCCCGTCCGTCTAACCAGTCAAGGCCTGACCTCCCAGACCAGGTATGGCCCAATGACCCGAGTGGCTTCCCAGATGATCGAGAACGCTATGGTAATCCCCTCATGCGGCTTCTTCCAAGTAAGTGCATCTGCTAAGACAAGCCAAACGGCGTAGAAGGCGACGGCAAAGAAATGATAGATGAGCACCCACGGCGACCGGATCAGGCCCGCCAGCATCTCTCACGGTTCTTGTACCTCCCGCCGCGTTGCAAGTATCGAAAACAGCCATTCTTAAGCGCGACAAGCGCGGCATCATTGGCCGCGAAAACGGTATACAGCGCTATTTCAAGAATGTTAACAAGGGAAGAACCTTATTTCCGTTCCCAATGGAAGCGCGCTATCTGCCTTAGCACTGCATCTGACGCGTCAAGCGATGAGACTTTCTCAGGGGTTAATAGCTTCGAAATCAGCAGGATATCATTAAATGCAACCGTCATGCCGCCCCCCAGTAAGCGGATATCGCATGTTCAGGGCATCGCCGATAAGCAGGAGCCCCGGCACTTTCTGAACCGATGGAGGAAGGAGTTCGGCATGCTCCGAAACCTGCCCCGGGACACGGCCTCGCGGAAACTCTGCTGGCAGCCAGGTGGTAGTTCAGGGAGCACGACGTTCAGCATATGGCCCTTTATGCCACAGGTGGCAGGGCTGGCGCTCGGTAGCGCGGTAGGTACGTCCATGAAGATGCGGGTCTCGCGCTGGCTGATCTGGTAGAGTATGACCGGGGGCGCTTCGGAGAGGATCACATGTCCGTAATAAGTTGAGCGTCAATGAGCTCGAGGGCCCAGGATTTGGAGCGACTCGACGGTTTATTAGGGAGGTAGGCCTTATGAAAGGTAGAGGCATAGCCATCGGAGATTATAGTCAAGCTGGCAAAGTACTATATCCCACAACGTTAGCCTGACAGGCCACGGTAGGAAGCCACCGAGGAAGAGAACTTACGGATTGCTTCGCCGGCTTCTCGCTGCGCGGACTACTAGCTACCACTCCTACTATCTTGCCTGTAGGTTCGTCCCCAAGCACGTCAATGACTCTCGCCTCCACCACCGTCACGTTCGGCGTATCTGCCGCCGCTCTGCGCAGATTCCGAACAAAGCGGCCATTATGGAAAGAGCGATCCTCGGGACGCACGCCAGGCGTACCGGGGCTTTCAGGGTAGGAAATATTAACCGGTTCTTTGTGGCACGAAACTCGATAGCCATGGCAGGGTACGGAGTCGATATCTTCCAAGCAATCTACATATCGGGCCGAAATTACAACAAAGTTAGCATTCCGAAAGCACAGTAACACTGACAGGACTCTTGTGCTCTCAACTCCCAAGCCCAATGCGTTCAATGTTCTGACGCTGCTTACTCGAGGAGCAAAAAGCGATGCTAAGCCAGTGGGAAAGCCCTAAAGTTTCCGCTATATGCTAGTAATGAGATTAGACTTTCAAGGATATCTCATTAAGAGACTATGTATAGTTGTAGAAACCGATGAGCCAGTATGTTAACAGACCAGATGCCAAACTCCATGCTCATTTGCAAACGCCAGTAAAAAGTACCAACAAGAAACAGACCCCATGCAAGCTATACTGAAGCCCACCTATAAACATAGAAACAATTAACTTTTTGACGAGAAAAGATAAATAAAGTCGAACGTAAACATTGTTATTCGTTTTGTCGTTGGGCATCTCCTTATGCACTTTGCTCCGAGCCCGTGTCAGCATCGGTCACGACGATATGGATAGTCTCCTTGTGGGCATCGTAATGGCAAGGAGCAACCGGGTGTACCATGGCTGAGGTGTTCTTCTTCCGCTCGATAAGCCAGAGCTGCATAGCACCGATCATTGCAACCAGAGAACTTCCCCACCATGCAAGGCCCGTGAAATTGAATTCAGAACCGGTACTGTAAAGCCAACCGGCAACGGGAGGAGCGACAGTGCGCGCAGCGGCCCCAGCAGAAGCAGCAAGACCATTAATTTTTCCCAGGACCGCGTCAGAAGGACTCGCTTGCTTAATGAGAATCAAAAGCACCGGATAGTCGATGATCGAAAGAATGTTGCGCACGGCGAGACAAGTGTAGATACCGACGAACAGGAGTTGCTGCGGGAGGAAAACCAAGAATGGAACCATGAAATAGGCGATCGGATGCAGGATCGTGACCACAACGAAAAGCTTCCACACTCCGAGCCACTGAGCCAAAGCCGGAAAGATGACACTCTGAATGATCAAGGCGATGATTCCGTCTGAAGACATGATCACACCAACCGTCCGAGTCGACAAACCCACGCCACCGGGAATGCTAAAATCGGAAGTAGTGCCAACGCCAGGGGAGTTTCGGGTATTTTTATCCTGCAGGAAGATAGGCAATAGATGGTCGTAGGTCATCGAGTGATACGTAAAGATGGCCAGGGCAACCACCAGCATAACGACCGGCCTTGTAAACGCGACTGGCTTGCGTACGCCTGACTCGCATTTTGTTCCATCTGCAAACACCGTCCAGCCGTTCTCCTCGTGCAGGTGGACCTCATTGAAGGTGCCGTAAGATTCGGCTCGTAGATCAGCACTGGGGTTGGCGGTGGCACCAGCGGTCGCTAGAAGAGGAGAGGTGTAATCCTGCTCAACAGAGACATCGCTTCCCGATTGCATATCGGGATGGGTTTCGCGGAGGAACAGCCAACTGCCGATGATACTAAACACAAGTAAGATAGAGCAGACGAGATTTGGCAAAAGATATGGGAATTTGCCAAAGAGGCCATCGGGAGGAAAAACAGAGGGAAACCCTTCAGCCGGTTTTGCAAGCAAACCCCCTATGGCTGCAGCAAGGAGGTCAACAGCTGTCCTTGATTTGTCCTGTCTGGGACATATTCTCACTTACCTGGCCCGATGATGGTTCCAATTGACCAGACAAACGGCATCACGGCATAAGCTCGAGCTATACCCTGTCAGCAACAGAACAGAGAGTAATTTTCAAGGGTTACTCACGTTCATGTTCTGGCCGTTTAACTAGTTCTCCCACCATTGTCTGGATAACGCCAATGTTTCCATTCAGCGCGCCTCCCAATGCTCTTCCGAAGAGGGCAACCCAGAAGTTTGTAGAAAAGCCTACCATGAGAAGGGAGAGCATGGTACCAAAGCAGCCGGAGAGGAGAACGGGTTTGCGGCCAATGCGGTCTGAAAGACCTCCCCAGAGCATGCCAGTGAGCGCTTCAGCGAGGGAAAACGCGGAGATGAGAATACCGGCGTAAAGAGATGCGTCATGGCTATTGGCGATTTTAAAGTCCTTAACCATCACCCACGAGTATGGGAAGATGGAGGTCAAGGCGATAGGCTCCGCGACGCGACATATTGCTAGTAGGAGGAGCTGAGTGGTGGGAAATTTGTTGTCGGAGGCAGGCAGTCTTTCCTGGTGTGTTAATACCATCTTCTTTAGAACCGTCCAAGATTCTTACGGCAAGCCCCCAGCAGCAAAGGACCCTTGAGTGGGCTCTAGCTCTATCCGTAGTGTCGCTCCTCTCTTAAGAGGTCTTTGGGGGTCAATGTCCTCCTCTTTTAAGTTGTCCTGTAACGAGTATAGAAGTCGCGATGAAAAGAATGAAAGAAAGCAACAAAAGATATAGATGCGCAGATGAAGAGGCTTATATTGAGAAGATACGGAGTAAGACAGTTAAGGAGAAAGACACCGAAGGAGAAGGAGGCAAAAAAAAAAAAAAAAAAGTGTGAAAGGATCGATCCGATATCCGAGTCGACAGTGCGACCAATGAGCAGCTGCAGATGGAACTTCCTATCGAGGTGATCCGTGGATTAATGTGACTAACGGAGTGTAAAGTACAAGTACAAGTACAAGTATATACACTGAGTATGACAGTAACGATACGGAAGAGCAACGCTTATAATATCCAGACATAAAGATGATTGTAGAGTCGTCTCAATCCGGTTATTACTGATTCAGTCTACTAGAACATCGCGATGACATCTTGACTGGTCGGTGTAACATACTTCCTGGAATACATGAAGGTGGCGAGTCGCATACCTCCGCGTTAGACAGCGGTCTTTCCGATATCGTCCACATCTTATCTATCCCCTGCATATATACTACTGATCTTATTATAGCTGATATACTACTCTGTACTCTGTACTATGTAGATACTTGTACTATGTACACAACAGTATCAAAACTATGCAGTGGACCCCTATCCGCAGCGACACTCTAAGACCCGCTATCAGAAGCCAATCACCGCCTGTACTTCGAGGGCCTTATGTACCCCATAGCAGGCTAGTCTGTGCGGCCCGACTTAATCTAGACCTGCCAGACTGTGCTAGAAGAATCCCAAAGTACAGACTACTCTCGTATACGAAATCATCTGACCAACCCTTGTATAGAAGGCGAGAAGATGGTAGAAGAAACTTTCGTTTTTCCATGTCTCATGGTAACTTATCCTTTACTTGTTATCTGCCAGATTCTATGTGCCAGAATCGGTATGTATTCCCAAGCGAGATGCTGAAGATCTGTCTGGAGCATAAGCCCTTTCTCTCCCGCAGGTCATGGACGAGAAACACCAAGAGGGTTTACTAAAGGATCTGAGCTGATGCTCAATTCTGATGATGCTCAAGTCACGCAGCCCTTCACGAAGCACAAATATTCCTATTTAAAACCATCCATAGTACTACAGAAGAGATCCCTGCAGGGAACTTCACGAGTTCCTATCCGAACATATGCAGAGAAGGCCTGGTTCAAGATGTCTGGTCCTTGGCTCGAGAGTCAGACTACGAATATGATTCTCATTTAGGTAAAGTGCAACAGACACGGAAACAGACCGGCTGCTTCTCATTGTTCTAGCAATTCTCGCGCCTTTCGTATCAGCCAGGTATGCCCCTGGCATCTTAGCTGAAGCTGTGTGTATATATACATGGAAGATAAGTTCATATAGATTTATCAATCACCGGGCTCCGCGACAGGAATATATTGTCGTCTTTCCCTAGCAGCCTAAATAAGTCAGCATGCACAATCAACCAGTATGATATGAAATGAAAACTTACCTCAAGCCACTTCTGAACCCACGGCCGAAAAAGAGCCCACGCGAGTAACCCACTCGTCGCGAATATAAAAATGAACACAATTGCCTCGTCCTTTCTCGAATCCCTTTCTGTAGCACAACCACCATTAGCATGCATTGCATCGCATAAACCTGAGGGAGCAGAGTCGTCATACGAAAACACGTGCTCACAACATCATCCTCCTTTGCACCCTTACACACAGGCAAGTCATATCCCAAACAGAACTTCCGATTACAGTCGTTGCAGCTGAGCGCTTGATAGCTGTTGGCTCGCTTTTCATTATCCGTTGCCACCAGGTCTGCGATGTCTCGGGCGAGGTTGCCCGCGAAAGAGGAGGATTCGGGATTCGGGGGATCGAGGGGGATGATGGTGCTATTGCTGAAGCAGGTACATTTGCAGAAGGAAGCCGGAGCTATTATGTATGAAGAGAGAGTCGTTAGCTAGCTGAATACTGTCGCAAAGATCGTGCGATCTCGTGCGATCTCCTGCAGGGAGTTCGGAGACAACACTCACCGGATGCTACAGCAAACGATGCGAATGTGAGAAATAGGAGTAGAGAAGTAAGCAACGAATTCAACCCGCTGCCTCGTAATAACCACATGATGGATTCGACAGTGTTCTTGACTCTCTGTGCGGAGTAGACGGAGTTCATCGGCGTGTCTTGTTATCGCCGACTGCGAATTCCAGATTCTTGGCATCATGTGATATCATACAACAAATGCTTCAACACCTCAACTACGCCCAAATAATTCAAGAATGCAGCTTCTTGCTCTATATATCCAATTCGAACTATATGTACCAAAGCGACGTCTATGATTTCCCCTTCAATCCCTTCCGGCGATTCTCCCGCTGCCTCTCTTCCTTGGCAGCCTCACGCCGCCGTTTCTTCCAGGCCCGATTGTTGTCTCCCCGATTCTCCCAGAACCATTTCGCAAAGTCCGACTCTTCCCTTTCTGCACCGCTCTTCCTAAGAACCGGCGTGTCGATGGACGATTCATCATCCAAGTCCATCTCATCGTTATCCTCATCCCATTTTATGCTTCGGCCCACTAGGCCTGTGTCTGGGGTTGGAGCGGCGCTCCTCAGTCCGCGAGCTTGGATATCCTCCTTGGCGAAAGGTGTCTGCGGTGCGACCGGTTCGGTACGCTCTTCCTCGGATTCTATATCGTCATTATTCTCGAAGAAACTGAACGCGTTGGTTTCCTCAGTGGGTTTGGTTTCTGAAGAGACTGGTGCAGAGCGTTTGTAGAGTGCTTCCAGGGGATGAACTTTTTTTGAGGATGGTTGTTCACTTGTCTCCGACGATTCATCCTCGTCTGATGGGGTAGCAGGTTTGGTAGTTGCCGGTTCTAATTGCTTCTTTTCTTCCTTGGTCTCGTCGCTGGATGACTTGTCGGATGTGTTAGAAGTATCGGCCGACTCATTCTCGCTTTCCGAGTCACTGTCATCAGATGAAGATCCACTGGAAGAGGTCCAATCTTCCGACTCCTCCGCCGATTTCTCTTTAGGAGCGGGCTTAGCCTTCTTTGTCGATTCCTTCGACTTGGACTTTCGCTTTTCTTTAGCTCCCGCTACCTTCCCAGGTCTGTACTGAGAATCCTTGATTTTGTCATTGACCGGTTCTTTCACATTCCCTGTATCATCAACCCAGCCCTTTCCTTCCTCATATGTTGCCGTAGTAGTTGTATCCTCAGCGGCAGAACGGATAAACTTCGGGTGGGTGATAGTATTTGCAAACTCATGGACAACTGACTCCGAAGAAGATTTCTTCTTCTTTTTTGACTTCTTATCCTGCTTTTCATCCACGGCAGAGGCTTTGTTAGGGGGCAGTTGAGTCCGGAACAGGCACTCTTCCTTCTCCGTGTACTTGGATTTGGCTTGCGCCTTTGCCTTTTTCTCCTCCTTTCTTTGTTTCTTTTCCTCCTTCCGCCTATCCGCCTTGGCATCTGTCGACTCGGTCCATCCTCGTTTGACTTTGCGATCCGACGGTAGTTCGTGGCCATCTAGGACATCTTCACCGGCCTTTCGTTTCTTCGAACTCTTCTTTTTCTTGCTCGAACATTCTGCACCGGAATCCGACTCGTTTGGTTCCAATTCCTTTTCCTTCTGCGGTCGCGCAGTTTCCACCTTGAACTTTTTGCCTTTCAGGATAGACCCGTGAAGCTTCTTCTTGATCTTCTCCGCTTCCATTGTTGGCAGGGTCACGTAGCCGTAATTTTTCTCGGGGAAGGTTGGTAGGGTATGGAATGAGATTTCCGTAGCAGTCGGTTGCACGGAGGGAGGCAGCACGGCAGACAGGATGTCTGGATTGAAAGGGGTGATGTGGAGGCGCGTGGTTGCTGTAGAGGTTGTCGTGGTGGCCGTCGCCATGACAGGATGAGTGCCGGAGGATGATAGGAATTGTTCAATGAGAAGGCATGCTATGTTCTCTATGAATTGCAGATACTGTTACTGGAATTCCAGATCATAAACTGGATCCAATGTTCATTATTATCTCCAAGGTCAGTCTGTCGCTGGACAGCAGAGAAAAATGAAGCATACCATACCCGTTTAGGAATCAAGATTGGATTTTTCCGCCCCGGACCCAGACCGCCTGTGGCTCAGCAGAGTCACCAGCCGCGTTATATATCGGTTACATACGAGGACATGCAAGCATATAATTATGCACATTGAACTGACAATTCTACGATTTGTATCTTCAATCTCGGGACAATAATAATGACGGATTCGTGAGAACTGTGTGAAAAAGACTTTGTGCAGCCTATGGTAGATCAAATTCAATATCCTGATACTTGAACGACTTGAAATTAAAGGAGGACTTCGAACCACATCGTCCATCGCCTCGAGCCACAGCTGATGTAATAATTAAAGTGCCTTCGCGGTCTGTGGCGTCGCATTGGTATATTCCTTCTTCTGTTCTGTTTTCGATCTGCGAAATAATAATGAAAGATCAAATCCTTCATTTTCTCTCATTTTCCCATGGATTTTGTGTGTGTCTGATGAGGGTTTAAATTCCTCTCTTGTTGTGACATTTTGTGTGGTATTCTTCTTCTGCTGTTTCTGTGGATTCCCCATACTTTACTCCATACTCTCTATCTGGCCTAACAGAGAACGCTTTCCTTCTCCTCACCTCTTTCTTAGCATTCCTGACCAGCGGCCATACACTTTCTTCTTGTCTCTCATTTCTCTCTCACTCTCACTCTCACTCTCACTCTTTCATATTATCTCTCTTAAGATCAGCCGCATGTCGCAAGCATCCGCGCTTCATCCCGACTGAACAGCGCGAATCCATCCCCCGCCCGCAGTTGAACCTCACTGCTCACTCGCGCCTCTCACTACTCTCACTCTCTCACTCTCTCACTCTCATATACACACGTCTTCTCTTCTCTGTCCACACCTTGTCTTTCTTTTCTTACCTGCATATCTTCTGTGAATATCCTTACAATACATTTTTTTCCTCTGTACTTGACTCGATCGACTCCTCTCCGACCACTACACTGTCGCCGCGTCGCTCTCCTGGAGGCAAACCTGCTTCTACTCCGCCTCTCCGCCTGATCCGGCAGTGTTACCATATCCGTCCTACTTACTGCGGTACCTCTGCCTAATCCCGCATACTGTCTTCGTCGTTTTCTTTCCGTCCCTCTCGACCTTCGCGCAAATTCTTAACAATCATTCGTGCCTCTTATCACACTTTCCCCATTCAATATGGGTAACTCACAGACCAAAGAGGCACGAGCCTCTCTCGGCCCATCGCATCGTCGCAGTCATCACCCCAGTGGACGATCCCCGTATGGCGAGCGTCAGTCAGAAGGTTCTCGGTCCGGACGTTCGAGTCGACCCGATCTGTCTATGTTGGGATTTGCTCCGCCTCCGGAGGTAGCGTTGGAACATCGGCGCGAAACCCGACAAGAGCGTGAAGCTCGTAAGCTGGAAAAAGAACGGGTCGCCCGAGTCAAGGAACGAGAACGAAGTGTGAGAGAGGAGCATGTGGATGGTGGCTTCTTGGTCACGCAAGGTGTTTATGTTGGCACAGAGGATTTCAATAAGGCCATGGTTCGCCAGTTGATGGTAAAGCTACAACGAGTTCCTGTTGGGAAGTTTTAGGAATCAATGGATCGCTGACGTTGCCTATCTAGATTGAGCGACGACTCGCCCCGTTCTGGAGAGGTCTCAATGATTTCTCAGATTCGTGGACGGAGCACCAACTTATGGCAGCCGCCAGAGGTCTACCGATACCAGCGCCTGACGAGATCCCGCCCGAGTTGGAAAACAAGACTGCTCCCAAGGCTACCTCGGAGGACGCAAAAGGGCCGCCATCCGATTCAAAAACTGCCCAGCATTTGATGGTGCCCATCACATCGCGATCTCAATCCTACAACTCGGACAATTCCCAGACATCATCGAACCCCGCCAATTCCCTCCCTTCCCCCACCTCCCCGATCGCCTCGGGATCTTTTAGTTCGCCGTTGTTCCGGACTCGGGCCAAGACGCTAGCTTCGCTCACGACGTCAACAAAACACGGTTCTCAAACAGACCTTGCGCCGAGGGAAATCCAACTGCCATCCGATCCGTTCGTCAACGGGCAACCGCTTGAGGCATATCTTTACAAGGATGCAGCGGAGTGTCCGATTTGCTTCCTCTACTACCCTCCTTATCTGAACAGGACAAGGTGCTGCGATCAGCCGATATGTTCGGAATGCTTCGTTCAGATCAAACGTCCCGACCCCCACCCCCCGGAGCATGGAGAACCAGACCCGAACGCCCCAAGTTCAGCGCAGGAATCGGAAGGCAACCGTGCAGAATCAGCCGACACTCAGCTAGTATCCGAACCCGCAGCCTGTCCTTTCTGTGTCCAGCCTGAGTTTGGTGTCACCTACGTACCCCCGCAATTCCGCAGAGGACTCAGTTATGCCGCGGAATTGAATGGTTCGCGTCCGCCCATGAACCTAGCTTCTCCGATGTCCTCTTCTACCTCGTCGCTCTCGTCGGGCACTCCTGTAGCAGGCACTGGCCGTCGCCGTGCTACGTCATTGTCAGCTACCGACCCGACTGTGGTTACTACCGACAAGATTCGACCTGATTGGGCCCAGAAGTTAGCTAATGCTCGGGCGCACGCTGCCCGGAGGTCTGCCGCAGCAACCGCTCTCCACACCGCTGCCTACCTGGTGAATAATAACGGGAGTGATTCTCGAAACTTCAGTCTCGGAAGAAGGGGTCTTAGGCGAGCAAGTAATGCACCAGAGACTCGTGGGTCTCCGGCACTGCATGCGCTGGCGTTCCTAACAGACCGACGACCGCCCGCTCCCCCTACGCAAGATACGGAACCGCAAGAGGAAGGGAACCCGGCGCCGCCGCGTGGTAGCTCGAGGCGCAGCCGACTGGACGACCTAGAGGAGATGATGATGATGGAGGCGATTCGGTTAAGTTTGGCCAGCGAAGAAGACCGGCGCAAGAAGGAAGAAAAGGAGATGAAAAAGGAGGCCAAGCGAAGGGATAAAGACGCCAAGAAGTATGAGAAGAGCATTCGCAAGAGCGGAATCTCGGGCGCAGAAGTGGGCAGTAGCACTGGGCTAGGTGCCGCGAGACTGGGGGCAAGCAGCTCATCTTCTGTCATAGAGGAAGAGGATGAAGGATCTTTTACCGACAAGGGGAAGGAAGTAGACCGCGCAACCCCTCCAACGTCTGTTCCTGCCACAGCTGCGGCCACAGCAGCTTCCTCTAGTGCAGCTGTTGCACCCGCCACCTTGGCAGAAGGTGCACCGTCTTTTTCTGAAGGCACTACGGACCAATTGGCGAATCAGACTGCGGCCACGGAACCCTCAAAGCCATCACAACTGCGGAACATGGCGAGTGCATCATCCTCGTTCTCTTCGCTCGTTGAATCCACCGCGGACGAGCACGCGACGACCGCCGACGGCAGTCAACAGGCGACTGAACCGATGTTCAATTTCCGGAGTCTGGCTGAGGTTATTGGCGATGAAGACAAGGCAGGGGAACCGACGGAGCATGTCGAACATATGTCGACAAAATCAGAACAACCCGAGGGATCTGGATCGAATGACACTCCCGCTGCTGCACCCAAGTCGATGACCCGGGAGGTTTTGGACGCTGGGAATACAGCCGGCATAGAGCAGGCGAGTGTCACGGTACCAGAGTTGCCCAAGGAACTGGAAACTCGGTCGGTTGAAATTACCAACACGACCCCGAAACCCGAAGCGACATAGTTGCTTCCATACTTTCCTTGTTTCCGTTCATTTTTCTTTCATTTCCATATTTTCATTCTTGGTGGTGGTTGGCGCATAGGGGTTTACATATTCTGGGCGGAAAAGCGACGATGACGCTCTCTTACTGTTTTCTTTCCTTTCTGTGATTCATTCTTTTCTTTCAAAATTCATGTCCTAGGGCAAGAGACACTGAACAGGGTACAATAGACATTTCCTTTCTTTCTTCTACTGGGATCGGAGTAAATGATTCAAGTCTGGGCCGTGCATTTCTAGGAGAATGCTGGCGATAGTGTACTATTCGACATTTCACGAAGTACCAAATACTAGTAGTACTGTGTAGATTGAGCTGTGCGTTGTGTTTGTGGTACTTCGTACTCCGTACGGAGTGGTCTGTCATACTATTGATTGTGAGGGCTGGTTACGGGTGTTTCAGTGCACGATTGGATGCGACGAGGGATCGGATCACCTCGAAGGATGCGCGTAGATTGATTAAATAGTATTAAAGGAGATTAGAGATCGATTGATCGTGCGATGTATCTTTGCGCGCATTGTCGCATTGTCCATTGTATGCCCGGCCCAAGTCGATGATGAAGATACAGGTCATCGCAACAGGCTGCCATTGCAAATTTTTTCTTCTTCCTTTATAGCCTGAAGTGACCAGCCAAAAGTCAAAAACCAGCGAGAAGGATCTGGTGTGATTAAGAAATTAAGATAGTCAATCTATTGGTGAGCGACACTAAAAAGACACTAACGCGATGAAATGCGGACCAGCAGGAGGTGATCCTGAGTCTGAGATTAACTCTTCGTTTTCAGGTTTCCTTTCCAACTCTTCTCCGGCTCCCTCCAAATTCCAGCTGCTGTCGTTGCTGCTATTCACTATCTTTCTGTTGAAGTTCACTCCTTTGTTCGCTTTCTTCCTCATCGGCTGCGTCGTCGTTGATCGCTGGTTCCAAGGAACTAATCGTCTGCGAACCCACCACGACCCAGACCCCAATAGTCACCACTACTACCAGCACGGTCTCTTCTTCCTTCCCTCCTTCCACCACCGAAAGCATCCGGTCCAGATCATGGCGATTCTGGAAAGCGAAAAGCGCCCCCGAGGTCTCCGAGTCCCCTCGTTGTCTTCCATCAAGTCATTTGGAAAAAAGAGTTCTGAAGCGTCTCAGCAACAACAGCACCAGCCGAAGATGGATTCTCTACCAGAGGCACTCCCTCCTCCCCCTCCGGATAAACAACTGCCTTCCGTGCCTACCTCCGTGTCTCCTCAAGCAGCGCCTGCACCCGTAGCAGCGCCTACGCCCATGCGGTTGCCTGCGGCTTCAGCAACGGACTTGAGCTTTTCGCTCGACACCGTGCCCATGTCTGACTTTGGGACTGATCGGTATCCCATGCCGGGTCTGGGTGCCAACCGCAGCACTCCAAACATCAGCAACGTAAATGGCAACGGTATTGGCCACAGCAACGGCAACGGCGGTCTTGCGGTTCCACCACCACCCGTCCAGCGCACCCTGTCCAACGGATCGCAGCGAACAGGAACAAGTGACGGAGAGCCCTTGGAGGAGTACATCCCAGAGCCCGAGCCCGAGCCCGAGCCCGAATCCATCGATCGGATGTACGCAGATATCTCTCCGGGATTGGAACCGGTGCCTGACGTAGAACACGCAGATATGGATGATTTCTGGACACCCCCAGGTTACGAGCCCGTCGCGGCGCCGTTAACAAAACTGCATTTCGCCTGCTATCAGGAACACAAGTCGATGCCTCCTGCGGCGAATGTCTGGCATGCACTGCCGTGTATGACTTGTCAAAAGTTCGATCGGGAGGTCCGTCATCGGTGTGTGTTTTGTTGTCTTCGGATTTGCGAGGGTTGTTATCAGAATTTGCAGAAGTGTTCGAGGAGATCGTTGGATGAATTGTTGGGTATGATTCAGAGTTGATCTTATTTACCATTTCTTTGATTTGCTTTTGTTTCTTTCCCCTCCCCCCCTTGCTTTTTATCTGCGTCTGTATGCAACTTTCTTCGGGTTTGGTTTATCTGATTTCCCCCCTTTTCTTTTTTCTATTGCTCACAAATATGCGGTTGATTTTACGGCTCTGGGATACGGTGGGCACTGAATGTACATAAGATCGTCTCTTCTTTTGCCATGTTGTCGTGGTGTGTGTATTTATGTTTTGCTATGCTTTTTAATGTCATGCTTGATATCCCGATTTATCGGTATTAATAGTAGAGTAATATGCGTCAATCGTGATCCTCCTCCGTAAGCCCCGGACATCCCTCCATGGTCTCATCCTCATAGCGACATTTACACCAGAAGCAGTACCAATGCTTCTCCCGTAGATGCAAAACCAACTTATGCAGCCGTTCCTGCGGCTCCAGCGCGTTAAACTCGTCCAGCTCCGGATCTTCCTCATCCACTTCTTGCTCGAGAAGACTACTCGCGTATCCTTCGCCACGCGCTTGCGGGTCAATTGCCTCGCGGTCTTCGCGCTCGAGGGTTGGGTCATCGTAGCCAGGTAATTCGGGGTTGGGGAAGAAGGATGACGGGAGGGAGGTTTGGAGGACGTGGCGGAGGTGGAGGGAGCGTTCTTTTTCTTCGCGTTCGCGCACGAGGCCGCGGTAGAGGATGTTGATTTGGGACGTTGGTTTGACGTTCTTCTTGGGCTTCTTTTCCTTTTCTTGGTTGTCGCTTTTGTCGTCTGTTTCCTCCTCGTTGTTGTCATCACCGCGATCCTTGTCATTATTATCCCCTTCTCCTTCCTCTGCCTCGGTATCTAACCGCTCCGCGACCTTCTGCGCCGCATGGAATTGCGCCTCAGCCCGTCTTGTCTCGCGCTCCAATCGTACCCGATCCCGATAATCCCCCTCCTCATGCTTAACCTTCTTAAAAGCCTCCTCCGCCTCCTCTTTAATCTTGCGCTTCTTTTCATTATCCAGCCCAATGCCCCCACGATCTTCCTTGAACACCAAATTCAGCGGCTCAGTTCGCTTATCGTCGCGCGCACTTGCAGCTGCATCCTGACCATGTGGATTGTCTGATGGCGGTGGTACTTGCTTTCCCAATGTCTGACCAGGCTTGAAACCAAGCTTGGCCATCATCTGGAATCCCTTGTTCGATGGGTCGAGGGTATTGGTCATAAGGGCGGCATCGCGGCGAGCGGCTTCTTCGGCTGCGCGTTCGGCTTTGGAGGGGACTTTAGCGCGTGCTTCGGCCTTTTCATTTAAGGGTAATATAGATTAGTTCTTGCGTGCTTGGTGAGATTGGGATGTTGGGGGTCGGGGGTGGAAGTACCTCGCGTTGCTGTCGGCGCTTCTTCTGGGTAAAGGTTTCTTTTTGCTTGGGTTCTTCGATGACCATGGACATGTAGTCCTCTTCTTCGTCTTCTGGGGGTGGCATTATTGATTATTTAGGATTGTGTGATCGTGGATTGGTGGTGAGGAGAGTGAAAGTGGATGAATTGGATAAATCGGATGAACTCATTGCGGAGATGTTCCGCATAATCTTATCGCTATCTCCCTAACCTTAACAACCACTACTATGCAATGCCAGAACTTTCACTCAAACTATTGAACTATTGGACTATCCCTAAAAACAAATATTATGTCTGGTACAGATACTACCTTCAGGGGTACTACACTGACTAATTGGCACAGGGGCAAGGCGCAATGCTGCTGATGTCAAAGTGATATTTACGAGTCTCGGACTACGCCCCGATCTCACTGCATACGATCTGCAGGATACGAGCATGAGGCAGACTCGAAATTCGCCGAGTCCAGGGTTTCAGAGGGGTTAATGAGCATGACCAAGGGCGGAGCACGGAGTATATATTAAACATGCTGCATTCCTTTGCTGTCATGTCGCGTGCCTCATCGTGAAGAACAGTGCCGAATTCGGTTATCCATGGCTACTATGTTCTCCGGGCGATTTTTCGCTCTTTTTTTCGTTTTTTCTGTGGTGTCAGCATTGGATGCTGTGATTGACTTGGGTTATGCAAAGTATCGTGGCCAGTCGCCTTCGAATAGCACTGTTGAATGGCTGGGGATTCAATTCGCTGCTCCTCCGGTGGGAGACTTGCGGTTTGCTGCACCTCAAGATCCGGTGAAGAAGGATGGAACCCAATCTGCTAATCAGGTATGTCTCTTTTTTTCTTATCTATTTGTGTGAGCCTAGTACTAATAGCTTGTAGCACGGCCCTATTTGCATCCCAACTGAATCATACCCCATTCCTTCCGGCAGATCGGAAGACTGTCTATATCTTGACGTCTATGCTCCTGCCCAGACAGGAAATGCTACCAAACTGCCGGTTTTCGTCTGGATCCAGGGTGGTGGTTTCAACAGTCTTGCTGGCCCGAACTATAATGGGACCGGATTGATCAAAGCAGCGGACAATGGCATCGTGGTGGTCACTATCAACTATCGCGTTGGTCCATATGGGTTCTTAGCTGGGGAGGAAATTAAGAAAGGAGGGAGTATCAACAATGGTTTAAAAGACCAAATTAAGGCTCTGGAGTGGGTACAGAAGCATATCAGCAAGGTATGTCTACCTAACGTACTTGACCTGTGCAAATGCTGATAGTCATAGTTCGGAGGCGATCCAAAACACGTCGTCCTAGGCGGTGCCAGTGCAGGAGCTGCATCTATCAATCTGCTCCTCGGGGCGTACGGTGGAAGGAACGACGGTTTATTCCACGGTGCTGCCATGGACGCGTCAAGTTTCGCCAACATGCGCAATGTTGAACAAAGCCAATTCATCTACAACAACCTTGTCATCCGAACCGGGTGCGCCAGCAAAAACGATACTCTAGCATGTCTACGCAACTTGGACATCGCAGACCTCCAGCGCGAGAATATCAATACTCCTCTCCCCAACGCCCAGAATGCTCCGCTTTACGTGTACGGACCGACTATCGACAACGACCTGATCCCAGATCTTACCTACCGTCTCTTCCACCAGGGCCACTTCATCAAAGTCCCAGTGATCTTCGGCGACGTCACAAATGAAGGAACCCCATTCGTACCCAAAGACACATCCGACGTCGGTGACGCGGATACCTTCATCCAAAGCCAATTCCCCCAAGTCAAACTCGAACACCTCGCCAAAATCAACGAGCTATATCTCCAACCAAACCAAACACAAGACTTCCCAAACTCCGGCCCCTACTGGCGCCCAGCTAGCAACGCCTACGGCGACATACGGTACACCTGTCCGGGGATGGACATGTCCACTGTCTTCGCCAAAGCCGGCGCCCCAAGCTGGTACTACAAGTACGACGTGCAAGATCCAGATACTGTCAAGTCCGGCGTGGGCGTTCCGCATACAGCTGATATAAATGCTGTCTTTGGTCCTGACTATGTATCGGGTGACCCCCCGGCTTCGTACCGGACTTCGAATGCGCCGATTGTCCCGGTTGTGCAGGGGTATTGGACTAGCTTTATTAGGAGCCTTGATCCGAATAAGCATCGGCATTCGGGGAGTCCTGAGTGGAAGGGCTGGGACAGCGGTAAGGGACATCAACGGTTGTATATACGGACTGGTCATACCAAGATGGAGACTGTTTCGACAGGCCAGCGTGAAAAGTGTGATTATTTGGTGAGCATTGGGGAGGCTTTGTGGCAGTGATCTTGCATTCGTTTCTGGGATTGGTATATATATTTTTGAGCATGCAAATGATTTGACGATTGAATAAACAAGTTCTTTTTGAATACACCTTGAACGTATGTATATACAACAGTAAAGATATCCCAATATGTAATAACAAAACCAACACTTCCCAAAAAAAAAAAAAAAAAAAAAAAAA